CACTATGGACAGTGATTAAGTAATAAGGTTCAAGGCATGCTGTTTGGGTTAATGTCACAGCTCTTCTTCCTACCATCTGTTTATCTGTTAAGGGTTTTTGTGCCTCAGTTTCTTTACCAGTAAAATGTGATACTGTCTCAATCAGTTCAGGCTGCTATAACAAAATATCTTAGGCTGGGTAATTTGTAAATGACAGAAACTTATTGCTCAGGGTTCTTGAGGCTGGCAAGTCCAAAATGAAGGTGCCAGTAGATTTGGTGTCTAACGAGGGCCTATTGGTAATAGATGGCACCGTCTTTGTGCCCTCACATGGCAGATCTATGTGCCCTCACATGGTAGAAGGGTCAAACAGGCTCTCTGAAGTCTCTTTTATGAATGCATTAATCCCATTACGAGGGCAGAGCCCAAAGGTCTTAATGATCTCCCAAAGGCCTCACCTCTTAATACTATCACATTGGGTGTCAAGCTCCAACATACACTTTTTGGGGGAGACACCATCATTCAAGCCATAGCATTCTGCCTCTAGCCTCCCAAAATTCATGTCCTTCTCACATGCGAAATAAACTCATTTCATCCCAATAGCCTGAAAATTCTTATTGGTGCCAGTACCAACTCAAAAATATAATTCCAGAGTTTCATCTAAATCAGATATGGGTGACAGCCGTAGGTTTGATTCATCTTGATGCAAATTCCCCTACAGCTGTGACCCTGTAAAATCAAACCAGTTATATGTTTCCAGTATACAATTATGGGACAGGCACAGGACAGGTGTTTCCATTCCAAAAGGGAGAAGTAGGAAAAAAGAAAGGGATAACAGGTCCCAATGAAATCCAAAACCCAACAGGACAAACATTAAATCTTAAGGCTCCAGAATAGTTGTCTGTGACTTAATGTCCTACCTTCTGAAACACTGGGCTAGGGGTTGAGATTCCAAGGGTCTGGGCAGCCTTGTCCCTATGGTTTTACTGAACACGGTCCACACCACAGCCTATGACTGTGGCTTTTCTAGGCTGGAGTTGCATGCCAGTGGATTTACCATTCTGGGGTCTCGGGGGCAGTCCCACTCCCATATCTCCACTGGGCAATGCCCTAGTGAGGACTCTCTGCAGGAACCCCATCACTGTGACAGTTCTCTGCTTGGGCCCTGAGGTTCTCTGTGTATCATTTGGAATCTAGGTGGAAGTAGCCATGCCCCCCATAGTTTGTACACCCTGTGCACCTGTGGAGATGGCACTATGTAGATGCCACCATGGTTTATGACTTGTGCCTCCTAAAGAGGCAACCTGAACTGCACCTGGGCCTGCTTGAGCCACAGCTGGGGTGAATGAGGAGCACTGCAACAGAATGCAGGGAGCAGAGCCTTGAAATCATTCTGACCACAAGGCCCAGGCATTCCGGCCTGTGATGGGCAGGGCAGCCCCAAAGATCTCTGCAGTGCCTTCAGGATCATTCTTTCATTGTCTTGATGAATAGCATCTGGCTTCCTTTTATTCATACTAATCTCCTTATCAAACATTTGCTTGGCTATGCCTTTGGTGTTCTTTCCTTAACACATTTTTTTTCATTCTTTACAACATGACCTGGTTGAGAATTTTCCAAATCTTTAAGATCTGCTTCCTTTTTGATTATAAATTCTGTCTTTCACTCATTTCTCTCTTACATTTTATTATAAGCAGTCAAAAGAAGTCATGCCATATCCTCAACACTTTGCTTAGAAATTTCTACTGCCAAATATCTTATTTCATTGCTCAGGAGCTCTACCTTTCACAAAGCAACCAGGACACAAACACAATCCAGCCAAGTTTCTTGATACTTTATAACAAGTATCTCCTTTCCTACAGTTTCCAATAGCATGTTCCTCATTTCCATCTGAGGCCTCATCAGAATGGCATTTACTGTCCCTATTTCTACCAACATTCTGACCATAACCACTTAAATAATCCCTAAGAAGATTGAAGATTTCTCTACAGTTCTCATTTATTTCTGGTCCCTCTCCTGAATGACTTTTTATAGTCCACCCATAGCAATGGACTTCAAAACTCTTTCAACCTCTACCCATTACCCAGTTCCAAAGCCACTTACACATTTTTAGGTATTTGTTATAGCAACACCTACTTCATAATATCAATTTCTGTCTTAGTCTGTTCAGACTGTTATAACAAAATACGCTAAACTGGGTAGTTTATAAACAACAGATCTTTATTGCTTATGGTTCTTGAGCCTGGGAAGTCCAAAATAAAGGTGCCAGCATATTTGGTGTCTAGTGAGGGCCTGTTGGTAATAGATGGCACCTTCTATGTGTCCTCACATTGTAGAATAGGCAAACAACTCCCTCAAGCCTCTTTCATAACGGCACTAATCCCATCCATGAGGGCAGAGCCCTCATGACCTAATCACCTCCCAAAGGCCCCACCTCTTATTACCAGTACATTGGGTATTAAGCTCCAACATAAAAATTTTAAGGGGACACCAACATTCAGATCATAGAAGGTACCAATAAGAACCATTTATTCCGTTGCCGTGACATTAGGTGAGTTAATAGAAAACACTTAGAATAGCTCCTGGAACATACTAAGTTTTCACATAAAGTTAGCTATGATTGTTATTTTAACATCTTTCTGCATGCTTTGGGCAAATCTCACCTCCTTCCTGAAACCTTCCTGTGCCATTCTAGTCCACATTAATCTACTTTCTCTAATTCCTTTTATATGTAACATTCCTAACAAGAGTGAGTCAGCACATCCAGGCCCCAGGAGAGCCTCAGAGGAAACAGCCCAGGTCCTCAGGTCAGAGGTGAAGGGCCTGAGATGCAAATGGTGAATTCACAGCAGGAGGGAGGGGAGGCAGAGATGCGGAGCTTGCACAGAAGCAAGAGTGTGAGAAAATATGGCTTCTCAGGGAATAACTCCAATCAGACATAGTCTGGCCTGATTGGAGAGACTGAATTATGTAAATGGCAAAAGATAAGTGGGAGAAGCAGCCCAGAGAAGAGAAGCTTGGGTTGGATGCTATAAACTTGAAGAAACTTTGATAGTTTAAGGCCTTGAACAACAAGATCTATTATGCATTTAAATCTGCCATTTGGGTGTCAGTGTGCAGAACAAATAAAAATAGAGAGTCACTGAAGAAAAGACGTCACTTTGCCGGGTGTGGTGGCTCACACCTGTAATCCCAGCACTTTGGGAGGCCGACACGGGTGGATCACCTGAGGTCAGAAGTTCAAGACCAGCCTGGTCAATATGGTGAAATCCCGTCTCTACTAAATATACAAAAATTAGCCGGGCATGGTGGCGGGTGCCTGTAATCCCAGCTACTCAGGAGGCTGAGGCAGGAGAATCGCTTGAACCCGGGAGACAGAGATTGCAGTGAGCCAAGATCTTGCCATTGCGCTCCAGCCTGGGCGACAAGAGTGAAACTTCGTTCCAAAACAAAACAAAACAAAACAACAACAACAACAACAAAAGATGTCACTTAGTTACAAGCAGGTTGTTAAGAGTCCAGGTGGGTGGTAATGAATGCTGGAGCTATTAAAGTTTTAGGGAATGAAAAATATGGGCAAACACTTTAACCTATGGCATGGCATGGTGTGAATGTACAGCGTCTCCTACGTGAAGTGAGGGAAGATAAAGAGTCAGGAGCTACTGGGAGTTTACTGGTGCTGCTGCCTGGATGGATGGCAGTCCCATGAACTCACAAAAGAGACTAAAGGACAGAACAGTTTAGGGGAGAAGAGATGGAAGTTGTACATGCTTAATTAACTGTTTCAAATGAATTCCAAACGGCCGATAAGTTTATTAAGATCATAAAGTATGCAGAAAAAAGTCTCAGACAGCAATTAGTAAAAACTATCAAACAATGTCAGACACCACATTCAAGGTCTTTTGCTGGCAGCTTCCAGTTACCTGCACCAAAAATGACTGTAACAGGTACGTAGCTTCAAGATTGACAAAGAAATGGAGAATGCTTAAAGGCTGAGTGTGGGATTCTTTAGTAGGTGGAAAGAAAAGGACTCAATATATGGATATAATAAAATAAGTGATTTATAAACAATGATATTTTTCTGGGGCTTTCAAAGTTGTCAGGTTTTCTAGCCTCATACAACATAGCATCATCTTGATTCTTTTGTCCTCTGCCTTGTAATTTTCTGTTCTCCCTATATCTACGCGTAAATATATTTTTAAAAATTCTCCTACATTTAGTGTTGGAGAGCAAGATCTATCCTGGAGTCATTTTGCTGCTTAGAAAATTTGCCTAGCCATTAAACCATTACTAATATAGACAAGTAGTATGTTCAGTACTTTTCTACCTCAAACTAACTTACTTTCTTTTCTTTCTTTCTTTCTTTCTTTTTTTTCTTTCTTTCTTTCTTTTTCTTTCTTTCTTTTTTTTAGATGGAGTCTTGCTCTGTTGCCTGGGTTGGAGTGCGAACTCGGTTCACTCCGCCTCCTGGGTTCAAACAATTCTCCTGCCTCAGCCTCCCGAGTAGCTGGGACTACGGACGTGCGCCACCATGCCCAGCTTATTTTTGTATTTTTAGTGGAGATGGGATTTCACCATGTTGGTTGCCTAGGATGGTCTTGATTTCTTGACCTCATGATCCGCCTGCCTTGGGCTCCCAAAGTGCTGGGATTACAGGCTTGAGCCACCACGCCCGGCCTCTACCTCAAACTTTCAAAGCACTTCTGGTGCTTTAAAGGTTTTTACTGATCAACTGGCAGCTAAAGAGGCTTTGTCACAGGCCAGGAGCGGTGGCTCAAGCCTGTAATCCCAGCACTTTAGGAGGCTGAGGCTGGTGGATCACCTGAGGTTGGGAGTTCGAGACCAGCATGACCAACATGGAGAAACCCTGTCTCTACTAAAAATACAAAATTAGCCGGGCGTGGTGGTGCATACTTATAATCCCAGCTACTCGGGAGGCTGAGGCAGGAGAATCATTTGAACCCGGGAGGAGGAGGTTGTGGTGAGCCAAGATCGTGCCATTGCACTCCAGCCTGGGCAACAAGAGCGAAATTCTGTCTCAACAAAACAAAACAAACAAACAAACAAAAAACCAAAAGAGGCTATGTCACAAACTATACCTAAATGAAAGATACATTCATCCTCCTCCCTCCTACTGCTTTGATGATCATTTATGGCATTTCATAAGTGTAGTTTTAAAAAGTCTGGATTGGGGGTTTTCAGGTCCTTTTTGGTGGACAAAGGAAGATTTCTGGAAATTCCATTATAACCAGCTCTTTCAGGGAAGTTGTTTTTCAATCCAAACTTAAACTACATTCCTAGTATATGAACATGTTTGTCTTTTACCCCTTCCCTCATTGTCTCCTTCCCATCTAGTACTACTGTATAGACATCTGCGTATTTACAAGAGTTTTACCCATTTTACAAAATATGTGAGAACTATTGACATACTGAGGATGTGGTACAATATGAACCTTGGAAAAAGGTAGATATTGAAGAAATAATAGGTATCTTGTGATTTAATACTTTGTAGCAGGACTGTACTGAGGTGTGAGATGAGCAGGCCTTGTTTTCAGGACCCTGCTGATCAAAACTGGATATGGCAAAGAAATGGGCCAAAACCAGATATGACTAGGAATTATAGTGCATTTGCATAAGACACTCCTAGCAATGCCATGACAGTTTGTAAATGATGCCATGGAAATGACTCAGAAGTTACCTTATATGGTTCTGGGAATTCCCTGCCCCTTTTCAGAAAGCTCATGAATAACCCGCCCCTTATTTAGGATACAATTAAGAGTGGATATAAATAAAGCTAGTCAGCACTCCACAAGTGCTACTCTGGGCCAGTCTACCTATGGAATAGCTCTCCTTTGTCTATGGAGCAGCCAATTTGCTGCATACAGTGGCTCTAATAAGCTTGCTTTTATTTCACTGTCTGCTCACTCTTGAATTCTTTCCTGAGTGAAGCCAAAAACCCTCCCTGGGTGAGCCTCAGTTTTGAGGTTTGCCTGCATGAGCCCTGTAAGCAAATGAATCAGACAACTACGCGAATCATAAACAAGAACTTAATACATACAGTAAATTAGGATATTTCCTAACATTTAACCTTCCTTATATTAACTGCTCATGGTGCATTATTCCTTGAATATGCTGCTCTGGATTATATTTTCTAATGTTTGGGGCTTTCCCATTAAATGTTGCAGGAAACCACATCTGTAACCCACATGCAATACTTCTCTACTGAGAGATGCATGAAGGAGCAGAAAAATGTGTTCACAGAGCCTCACTCATCTCAAAATATCTCATGTACCCCATAAATACATACACCTATTATGTACCCACAAAAATTAAACATTAAAATATTTTTAAAAAGAACCTCACTCAAGTGGCATCGAGAGCCCAGGGTGTGTGAAGGAATACCCTACAGCTGATGACTGAGGAACAGGGTGGGGTGCCTCATCAACATTCAGAACATGAACCTTCTGCTCTCCACCAGCAGCGGTCTCCACCTCCGCATGCACACTAGCAGCCATGGGCTCCTCCTCTGCTCCCCGCCTCTCCTCCCTGCGCAGTGTGGGAAATATCGGCCCCGCCCCTTTGATCCGACTCTGCCTCCTCAACTGCGATAGGTCCGTCCCCGCGTTGGTCCCTTTGCCCTTGTGTGCCTGGTGACTCTCCGGTGCACTGGCGACAACTGGGCTTTGTGGGCGGAGCTTGCGCAGGCGCTGCACAAAGCTGGGCTCCTGTTACACATTGGACAGACAACCCACAGCCGCCGCTGCCAACCCCCCTCCACTCCTTCAGACTGCCAGACTGCCAGACGACCACATCATTCTGCCCACAGACCATCGCCATCCATCGCATCCCACCAAGACTGCTGCTCCTAGTGATCTGGACTCACCTAGGAGGTATCTGAGCTGGCCATAGCCCCTGGACAATGATCCAGACAGCTGGCCATCCCCCAAGGAGCCTGTCACCTTCAGGGAGACCCATTTCCTCCCCATCCCGAGACCTCTTGTGCTTCTGCCACATGGCTGCCAGGGCTTAGGTGTGTCTGGCAACCAAATCCAATCTCTCATTTTTTTCCCTGTGGACCAGTTAGTTTTGCCTAGAATCCAGTTTTCTTCTGAATTTGCAACTGTCTCTCTGATGGGTGCCTTTTGTTCAACAGAGTAACCCCTGCTCCCTGCCCTGCTCTAATACACTACCTGTACAAAGGTCTTTTCCTTATTTTCAATAAATGTCAGACATTATTAAAAAAGAATGAAATCTCAATGAATATGGCACCTTTCCTTCTCTGGTTCTGTAAATGGGGTCCATATCTTGTTCAAACACTGTGTGCCCTGTCATGCTATGGCTAAAGTTGACTCTTGCATTATAAAAACAAAAGATTGAGTCCTGTGGTGCCCTAGGGATGGAGACCTTAATGGCAACCATCTAATGCCAAATGATGGCCCTTCTAAACCAGTCAGTTTCATGCCACTTTCAAAGTAGACCTTGATCTGATTTTGGTCAAGGTGATGTGAAGAGCTGTGGAAAAATTTTTTGAAAAAGGTTTCCTTATTTCCAAAAAATGGCTAGAAAGCACAAATCCCAAATTGTTACAGAACATAAATCCCACGCCTCTTTGGTGAGCAGCTATCAAAGTAGTATTTACTCCACTATTCAGGGAACCAACAGAATGGCTTAGGTACTTCAGAAAAAGCATTTACATTTATATTGCTTTGATTTGTGGAGCCAGCGGAATAAGGTATACAAAACTATGACTAATTTAGGTAGAAGCCTGGTTAGTAATCTGCAGGTAAGTAAAATTATAACCTTTAATGGACAGAAAATAAATAATCATTCCTTTTTATTATTTGGGTTAAATTCTTTTTTTTTTTTTTTTTTTATTGAGACGGAGTCTCTCAATGTTGCCCGAGCTGGAATGCAGTGGCGTGATCTTCACTCACTGCAACCTGTGCCTCCCAGGTTCAAGTGATTTTCCTGCCTCAGTCTCCCGAGTAGCTGGAATTATAAGCATGCACCACCACACCTGGCTAATTTTTGAATTTTTAGTAGAGATGGGGTTTCACGATGTTGGCCAGGCTGGTCTCGAACTCCTGACCTCAAGTGATCCACTTGCCTCAGCCTCCCAAAGTGCTGGGATTACAGGTATGAGCCACTGCGCTTGGCCTAGGTTAACTTCTAAATGTATTTTGCTGTAAAAAGCCTTTGCTCCCTCATTAATTATTGGTGAAAGTTAAATATCCTGATAGAGTCAGATGTTCTACGGTTGGGCTTATAAGACAATGCTCCAGTGTGATGTTAAAAGGTTGTGTTTGGGTTCTGCAGAGAAACAACCAATAGGATATATAGATATAGATATATGTATGTATATCTTCTGTTGTATATTTATCATACAGAATTGGCTCTCATGATTATGGATGCTGAGAAGTCTTAAGATCTGGTCAGCAAGCTGGAACCCCAGAAGAGCTGATGCCCAGTCTGAGTCCAAAGGCCTGAGAATCAGGTGAGCCAACAGTATATGCTTCAGTCTGAAAGCTGGCAGGCTCAAGACCCAAGAAGAGCTGATGTTTCAGCTCAAGTCAGAAGGCAAGGAGAACAGATGTTTCAGCTCAGAGCAGTCAAGCAGGAGGAGTTCTCTCTTACTACTGGAAGAATCATCCTTTTTGTTCTCTTCAGGCCATCAACTGATTGGATGAGGGGAGGGAAATCTGCTTTACTCAGTCTATTGATTCAAATGTTAATCTTAGCCCCAAACACTCTCACAGACACACTCAGACTAATATTTGACCAAACAAATATTAGGGAGAGAGGGAGGGAAAGGAAGAGAGAAAATTAATGTCAGTGCAGTTCAGTGCGTTAACCCTTGTATTGGCCCCATTAGCATGTATGCAACTTTTTTTTTTTTCTGGTCCATCCTGCACAGCTTTTCAGAAATGACAAGTCAGTATACTCCCTCTTCAATCCTCTCCTTTTCCTCAGAAGTGTCTCCTAATAAGTAGATCTATATACTTGTCTTGGGACCTGGATAACATTTTGGAGTTATAAATTGTCCTAATAATTTCTTATATATTCAAAAATCTTTATATGAAATGATGACATAGAGACACAAGAGGGTGCTAGCAATACAGATAAATGTTTTCACAACAACATATTGAAATTTGAGAAATTATTATATTGGTGGTGAATTACATTGGTGCATTCAGCTCTCTAATTATCAGGTTCTATGTCTTAACTGGTTAACATTGTATAATTATAATGCCTAGTTTAGTATTTTCTTTCACAATTCATATGTCATTTCCTTTAACCTTCTCTGTAAACCTTGATTATTTGACTGGTTCAATCATGCATCATCAGTTATGTAGTAAGTACTTCCTATGTTCCAGGTACTGTACTATGAACTGTTGTTACATCATTGCAGAATTGTGGTCCAAGCCTTCAAGGAATTTACTGTAAAGTTGGCTGTAGTGGAAATATATGTATGTGGAGTCTGAGCTTTGGATTTGATTAAGAAGGACTTGAGACCATGCTTGGTTACACCATTTATATGACATTATATAAATTCTTTAACCTTCCTAAGCCACTATTTTTTCATATGTAAAGTGGGTCAAATAACACCTATATATTGGGGTCCTTATGGGCATTCAGTAAGATAATGAATATAAAGTTCTGATCATTAAATAGATGGGATGTACCGTAACTATAATAACAACAATAATTTTATTATTTTTTTAGGATGATAATGACTTGAAGCCTGTATATGGCAGAGTGGGAACATAGTAGAAAGAACATTTAAATCTTACCTACATGAGGCAGGGAACATCTCAATAGAGGAAGTAGTAAATGAGTTGAGATTTGACTCCAATCTAAGAGGCCACCTCTATCTGAGATATAGAAGAATGAGAGAGTGTGGTTAATCATGTAAAATTTAGGAAAAGGACATGGTAGGAGTTTAGATGGCATAGATGGAAGGCTACATCATAATGGGTCATGTTTGTTGTGCTAAGGCATATATCAATTATCCTGTACTCAGTAGGGAACAACGGAAAGATATTGAATGTGGGACTGATTTGATCAGATTTGTGTTTTAAGGTTTGCTGGGGTGGAAATTTTTATTTCTTTGATGAATAGTAACATTAAGCATATTTTTCATGTCCTTATGGTCCATTCGTATATTTTCTTTTATGAAGAATCTGTTCAAGTGATCCATCTTAAAAATTGTGTCATTTTTTTCTTTTTCTTACTAAGTTATAGTGGGTCTTTATATGACCAATCCTTTGTCATATACATGTATGTCAAATGTTTTCTCTAACTGTGTACCTTCCTGTTCAATTTTTTGAAAGTTATCTTTTGAAAAGCAACAGATTTTCATTTATATGAAGTCCAGTTTGTAATTTTTGTCTTTCGTGATTTTAGATCTTCCAACAACCAGATGCCAAGAAGGAATTAGACATTTGAGGGATTTCTTGGGGAAAACACCTGTGGAGGATAAAGGAGAAGGTGAGAAGGGAAAGGTGGAGCAGACCATAATGCAGGTCTGATACTTATGAAAGGAAAAAGGGAAGGAGGGAAGAGCCTCAGTCTGCAGTTCTAGTCTGAGAAAATCTCATTCCAGCTGATAGGGAATCCAGAGTGGACTATCTGTTACTGAAGTTCTGTGCCAGACAGGAATGTCCTGTCCTGGCTTCATTGGCTGGTAGGAGCTGAGGAGAGCATGACTTCAGTGTAAACACTGCATTCATTCTAAAAGTGCAGCAGCTGAAAGGTGGCTGCTCACTATCATCCTCATAGATGTTTGTCTTGAAGAGAGATCCGAGTGACACACTTCCCTGGCTACCTGTTTACCCCTTGTACAGCACAGATATCCATGCAGGTTAGGGGAATATCTACTTTATGGTTTCTATGGCCCTTTTTACCTAAGAGGAAACTTAGAAGACATAGATTAGTATAATGAACCACAGCCCCTGCCACTGTAATTGGTCTCCAGGCCATAATTTGCTACTCATTCTTTTCTTCCTCTAATATCCATTCCAAAATTCCATCATTTTCAGATATCACTGTGATGATTAATTTTAGATGTCTACCTGCCTGGGTTAAGTGATACCAAGTAGCTGGTAAAGCATTATTTCTGGGTGTGCCTGTGACAGTGTTTTTGAAAGAGATTGGCATTTGAATCAGTGGACTGAGTAAGGACGATCTACCTTCACCCAATGTGGGCAGGTACCATCTGATCTGCTGAGGGCCTGGATAGAACATAAAGGCAGATGAAATGTTAATTTGCTCTCTCTCTTCTGAAGCTGGGATGCCCATCTTCTGCCCTGAGACTTGCACCAGTAGCCCCTCAGCTTCTTAGGCCTTTGACCTGGGACTGAGAGTCACACCACTGGCTCCCCTGGTTTTTAGGCCTTCGGGCTTGGACTGAGCCATGCCACTGGCTTTCCTGATTCTTCAGCTAACAGATGGCAGTTCGTGAGACTTAACTTCCATAATCACATGACTCAATTTCCCTAATAAATCTCTGTTATATCTATCTATCTATCTATCTATCTATCTACCTACCTACCTATCTATCATCTATCCATCCGTCCATCCATCCATCCATCCATCCATCCATCCATCCATCCATCCATCTAATCTATCTCCTATTGGTTCTGTTTCTCAGGAGAACCCTGACCAGTATACTCACCTTGCAAATCTTGGTGGTTTACCTAGTGATGAGACCCAAATCTTCATTCTTTAAGGGCCTGAGGCCTTAACAACCCTATCCTCAGCCCAGAGTGGCTGCAAATATGCAGTTAAAATTGAGCAAGGCTGTACCACAGGGTGCCCGAGTGAATTACCTGAGTTCTACACATTTTCCTTTTTGTACCAATTGTATAAAGCATCTTAACTTCTTCCTGCTGATTAAGGTCAATTACCCCTGCTAGTAATTGACTCTTCTCACCTGCTGGTCCAGGGAAACAAGAAGTCTTAAGTGCCCAGGTGATAATTGTAGCTTATAGTTCAAAGGGACACTTGCTGTGTCCCCTGGCAAAACTGCACCCCCTTGAGAAAAAGGACCTCTAACTTTGCATAGCTATGAGTTGTTGGGATGTGGGATAAAGTTTACTCCAGTGTATCATTTGGAGTACTGATAAATAGGGCTACTCCTGCATCTACCTTTTGGTTCTTGTACCTATGTATTATTATTATTAATGACACAGCACTGTATAGAGTTCTCTGATTTAACACATCTAGTAGGTCCAAAGGATGCCACCCCATCCTTGCAGAGTATTTCTTCTGAGATCACACATTAACTATGTCTTTAGATGACCATTAAAATATGCTACGATTATAGCTTCTTTCTATATAGTATCATAGGTGACATGACCAGTGGATCCTATAGTTTCAGGAGCACTCCCACAGCTCCTTCTTTGTGAAGTGGGTCCCTGGGTTAGATGCCATGCTACGTGGACTTCGTGCCTGTGGATCATGCATTCTATAAGATTCCAGATAGTGCTGAGACTGTGAGAGGGAGAAAAGGCAAACCTTTTCTGGAAATACTTATCTATTCCTGTGTGTGCAAACTCTTAACCCTTTTAGTATGGAAGGGGCACAATATAATCAATTTGCCACCAAGTAGCTTTTTGGAAATTGTGATATATTGGTGGCTTAGCATAGGTCTCAGTTTCAGGAAGGTTGCAAACTCATAGGCAATAGTAACTATATTAGCCTTGGTAAGTGGGATTCCAAACTGTTAGGTATATGCATAACTTCCCTCATTTTCCACACTTCTGAAGCAGCTGGCTTGATGGAATGGTGGAAAGGCCTTTCGAAGGCTCAGTTACAGCACCACCTAGGTGCCAGTGCCTTGCAGGGCTGGGGAAAGGTTCTTCAGAAGGCTGTATATGCTCTGAATCAGTATCCAATATGTAGGGTTGTTTCTCCCATAGTCACGACTTATGGGCCCAGGAATCACGGGGTGGGATTGGGAGTAGCATCACTCACCATTTGCTCTAGAGATCCACTAGCAAAATTTTTGCTTCCTGTTTCTGTGACTTTATGGTCTACTGGACCGGAGTTCTTGGTTTCAGAGGGAGGAATGCTTCCACCAGAAGACACAATTCCACTGAACTGGAAGTTAAGACTGCCAGCTGGCCACTTTGGGTTCCTCATGCCTCTGAATCAGTGGACAAAGAAAGGAGTTACAGTGCTGACTGGGGTGACTGATCTTATCAAGAGGAAATAGTACTACAGCTCCACAATCGAAGAAAGGAAGAATAGTCTGGAATATAGGAGATCCCTTAGGGCATCTCAATATTATCATGCCTTGTGATTAAAGTTAACAGAAGGGTACAACAACCCAATCCAGACAGGACTACTAATGTCCCAGAACCTTCAGTAATGAAGGTTTGGGTCACCCCATTAGGTAAAGAACCATGACCAGCCGAGGTGCTGGCTGAGGGCAAAGGGTATACAGAGTGGGCAGTGGAAGAAGAACACAATCACATGATCAGTTACAGAAACAAGAACTGTAATTGTCATTAGTATTTCCTTTTTATTTTGCTATGAACACATTTTTATGTGTTTTAGTGTGTATCTTTCTTTCCTCTCTTATTCCCTTATCATATAACATATATTGACTTTATGTAATGGAATTTAAGTATTATTAACTTTATGTCATAGTACTTAAGTTGTGGAATATTGAGGAGAGGAGTAAACATCACTCAAGGGATTTATTTCCTCCTCTAGGGAAAGGGTTAGTACATTTTTGGTTGTACACAGGACAATGGTATCACATTAGGCAGAATAATGACCGTGTTATTGTATTTATTTGGAGATTAACTATGGTTTAAGAAGATGGATACGGGTGTCAATTTGATAGGGGGTGGACTTGTGATGATTAATTTTATGTTTCAACTTGGCTTGGCCATGGTATCCAAGATACTTGGTCAAACATTATTCTGGATGTTTCTGATTAGATAGCGCTGCCCTTAGGTCAGAAAGAGTGTTTTCAGTTTGAAGGGTCAGTTTTAATGCTGAAGTGTTGACACTCTGCTCTCCAATAGAGTGGTACCTTGGAAGCCATGACCTGTTCACTATCCTGAAGCTATGGCTACTGCTGGGAAAGACCTCACCGTGACTTGCACCAAAATGCTCTCTCCTTTTCATCAGGGTAATTGTTCAGATGGCATGGACTTCTCAGTGCACCACAATGTCTTAGTGTCACTCCTGAGACAATTGTTTTCCGCTCTCCAAGACTGTGTTCATTCTAATGGTCAGTGTCTCCTATGATGTCCAGTCTGAGGATGCCATCTGCTTACTGCTCTTACCAGTTGCTATCAAAGGATAGCAAAGCCTGTTCTCTGGCTAATCTCTACACCACCCTCCTCTTTTGGGAAAGAGGAATTGGTTAAGGTTAAATCTCACATGCAAGCACTTCACGAGTTGGTTGTTTCTAATGGGTGTTCAAGTCCCAAAGGATTAGAGGAAATAATACAAAACAGTATCCAAAGAGGTGGGCTGGTATTCAACCAAAAGGACAAATCTGTAAACATTAGGCCTAGATCGTGACATCAAGTAAAAAGTCTACTAGCAACAGGAAGAGAGACAAAGGTGAGAGCAAGGTGGCTAATCACAGTTTATACCAGATGTCTGCTTCTAGGCTAGGATTGACTCTGTTATTCATAACTAGAGTTGGACTCAGGATATTCAGAGTGTTATAATATTTCAGGCTTGTATGACAAGGTGATGAGGTATTACCATACAGCTTATTGGCCTGTTACAGACACCATATAGGTGCAATGGGTCCGATAGGTAAGTATTCCACCTCCCTGAGGGTGGACTAAGTTTGGAGGTATAGCTTTCAGCTGTGGCAGGTGGAACTCGCCACCAAATCTGGGTATAGTGTCTCCAATTTTATTGCCAGCAGTACCTCTATCACAGGGCAGAACACTGGGTGCCAGGAAAGGTGCAGTGTGCAGAGGAGCTAAGAGCCACAGTAGCCCAGAAAAGGGCCATAAAACACAAAAGGAAACACATGACCACCCAGCCTTCACAAATCAATAGAAACCATTCAATGAAAAATCTGTTAAAAAAATAAAAATCTCCCAGTGTTTCTTGAAAAGTGTATTTGGATTAAAAAAAGATTATAGCCGGGCACGGTGGCTCACGCCTATAATCCCAGCACTTTGGGAGGCCGAGGTGGGTGGATCACGAGGTCAGGAGATCGAGACCATCCTGGCTAACACGGTGAAACTCCGTTTCTACTAAAAATACAAAAAATTAGCCGGGCATGGTGGCAGGTGCCTGTAGTCCCAGCTACTCGGGAGGCTGAGGCAGGAGAAAGGTGTGAACCCGGGAGGCAGAGCTTGCAGTGAGCCGAGATCGCGCCACTGCACTCCAGCCTGGGCGACAGAGTAAGACTCTGTCTCAAAAAAAAAAAAAGATTATAGGTAAATAAGTTAAATAATAAATTACAGATGAATTTTAAAATGTAAGCATAAAAATGAAACACGAGGAAACTGCAAAAAATATCATGGGAATATTACCTTCTCTTGCATAGCGGCAATATAAATTATTTAAACATGTAAAAACTCAAAATTTAAAAAACAAAATTGAGAATATATCTGCTATAACATCACTGAGGGTTAATAAACTTCATAAATAAGAAGCTTATAAAAATCACCTGGAAGACACTCCAACCCTGAAAGAAATGCGGGAATATTATTTGACCAGTCAACTTAGGGAAGATGAAAAACAAATGAACAACAAACATATGAACATGGTTCAACCTTAAAGTAATAATCGTAAGAAGTCAAATGGAAGAAATCATTAAAAATCCTTTTTTGGTCTATCAATTTAAAAGAATGAGAAAAGATGAAGAGTGATGTGGTGCAGTAAGGGGGGCCATCTCATAGTTTACTACTGGGAGTAAAAATTAATACATGCATTTTGTAAAGCAGTTTCCCAAAATGTATTCAGAGTCTCAAAATGTTCGTACCTTTTGTATAATAACTCCATTTTAACACCGCCACCTAAAGAAATAAACACAAAAACATATGAAGATTTATGTTTTAAAATGGTAATCAGAGCATTACTTATAATAACAAAATAAATGGGCAGTCATAGATCACAAAGAAAGATATTAGATATATTATGGTACATATGTATTATACAGGCATTGAAATTAGGTTTTCTTAAATGCTCTACTGATATAAGTTATGCTTCATGATATAAAATAACTGAAAATAGGTGGATCCACAACTGTGTATGATTATAATTATGTAACTTAAGAGCCATATACACAACTCTTGAACAGAAACAAATAACATATTAAATTGGTTCTTATGGGTGATATTCCTTTTCCATTTGGTATTATTCTACATATTCCCAGATTTCTACAATGACCACATAGTGCATTTCTAATCAGATATTGACAAGGCGCAAGCCCTCATTCCATTGGAAGGTGAGCAGGAGGACCTCCTTCCCCTCCTACTAAGGGGCCCACTCTGCCCTCAGCAGAAGAATGGTCCAGAGGTTTGTATGAAAAAGGATGGAGTGCTCCGGGCTTCCGCTCAGGGGTCTGGGATGGGCAGCTACTTGTTGACCGAATCACAAATCAGACAATGGCTTCCCATGGTGAATCCAAGAGGGCTTGCTCCTCAGGGATAGGTATGTCCAGGTATAGGTATCACTGTGACTCTGGCTTGATCCAACTATTCCTCTCTATCATCAAGGAAAACAGATTCCTGTACATTGAACTGGCACCACTGCTGGCCCAGTTTCAACTGTTTTAACAAACCAGTAGATGGTATAAAAATAAAAAAAGACTTCCTTTTTCAAATAATTCAAATTGTTCAATTAACTTCAACAGGACTTTGCTATATTAACATAGAAAAACTACTGAATTAATAAAATTTCGTAGTCTTAGTGCACATAATATAGCTCTAGTTTATTTACATCCCAGCAAATCACAGGGCACAGAATTAATGGATAGCAAAGCTTACTTGTCAAACAAAAAGAAAAAAAAGTAAAGCTATACCCGTGTGATATATATTAATCCTTCCACTTTTCTGGAAAAATCACCCAAAATGGAAATGAGGCAAAAAGAGGACTCTGCACAACATTTTCATATCAGGGCAGGGAGTTTTCTAATAACCCTACCTGAGATCATCTGAGTCTATCTGGATATTTAACTCTGACCAACAACTAATTATGAAGAATACTACAATATTGTAGATTTAAGAGGTTAACTTAGAGAAATATGGTTAAGGAGTGATATTTTTCTGGGCATTGGCCAAGTTTGTTCCTAAATTAATCTTATTACCACATTCCTTCCCCGAAAGACCTTTACATGACTTTTTGAACTAACTCTGTCATTCTGCTGACTCCCTGAACAATGAGTTAAATAAACACTGATAGGTATTTACCAAAAAGCTGTGTGAAAATTACAGTTTGTAACAATTTGAGACTTGTACTTTCAAGCCTCTTATTACACAAGTTCTCTCCACCAGGATTGCCCTGGAACCCAAAGTATCAGGACATTAAACCACTCAAAGGCCACAATGTCCCCTCTGTGCCTGTATTTCCCATATTAAGTTTTTGTGCATGTGTGTCACAAGATTTGCAGACATTTATCTTAATTATAGGCTTCAGGACAATAATGTCCCCAACCACCAAAAAAAGGGTGAATTACATTTTCTCTCTCATGCCCTTTATATGCATTGTCCTTTTACATTCACTTTGGAGATGTAGCTTCATGGTGGGGGATAGAATACATTGCTAAGAAGGAAGTGAGAAAAACAAACCAAGAAAAATAACAAGTGATAAGAATGCAAAGTAATTGCTATTGACTGATATTTATGTTTTTTGCCTACTCCCAAATTCATATGTTGAAACCTTAATTCCCAATGTGGTGGTATTTGGAGTTGGGGCCTTTGTGAGCGAATTAATTTTAGACGAGGTCATGAGGATGGGGCACCCATGTTGGGATTAATGCCCTTATAATAGGGGTCCCCAACCCCTTGCCCTCCTTATACTGGTCTGTGGCCTGTTAGGAACCAGGTGGCACAGCAGGAGGTGAACACTGGGCAAGGGAGTAAAGCTTCATCTATATTTACAGACACTCCCCATGGCCCACATTGCTGCCTGAGTTCTACCTCCTGTCAGATCAATGACGGCATTAGATTCTCATGGCAGTGCAAACACTATTGTGAACTGCACATGCAAGGGATCTAGGTTGTGCACTCCTTATGAGAATGTAATGTCTGATGATCTGTCACTGTCTCCCATCACCCCCAGATGGGACCGTCCAGTTGCAGGAAAACAAGCTCAGGGCTCCCACTGATTCCACATTGTGGTGAGCTGTATAATTATTTCATTATATATTAAATAATAATAGAAATAAAGTGCACATTAAATGTACTGTGCTTGAATGATTCATCCTTAAATCATCCCCCAGCCCAGTCTGTGGAAAAATTGTCTTCTGCTAATCTGGTTCTTGGTGCCAAAAAGGTTGGGGACCACTGCCTTATAAGAAACAGACTGGAGTGTTCTTTCTCTGCTGTTAGATGACACAGCAACAAGGTGGTCTACAAACCAAGAAGAGGGCCCTCACAAGATACCAAATCTACCAACACCTTGATCTTGGATTTTCAAATCTCCAGAACTGTGAGAAATAAATGTTTGTTGTTTAAGCTACCCAGTCTGTGATAATTTATTATAGCAGCCCAAACTGAATAAGACAATAATGAAAAAGAACCTCCCTTCTCCCCTTACAAATACCATTTCTTCTGTCTCTTTATGAAATCTTGCAAAGATGTTCATGATTCATTCTTGTGAACTGTTATCCTCCCCAAGATATTTATAGCATAAAAGAAGACTTGTAATGATAGAACTAGTGTAGACCAAGGAAAAATTCCCTGACAGAGCCATTCTGTCAGAAGGAAGAAAACTGCTGAGGCATTGTTGAGGGGGCTATGCGGTTACTGATATGATTTGGCTCTGTGTCCTCATTAAAATCTCATCTCAAGTTGTAATTCCCATAATCCCCATGTGTCAAGGGAGGGACCTCGTGGGAGATAATTGGATCATGGGGGTGGTTTCCCCCATGCTGTTCTTGTGATAATGAGTGAGTTTTCACAAGATCTGATCGCTTTATAAGCGTTTGGCAGTTCCACGTTCACATGCTCTCTCTTGCTTGCTGCCACATAAGACATGCCTGCTTCCTCTTCTGCCATGATTGTAAGCTTCCTGAGGCTTCCCCACTCATGAAGAACTGTGAGTCAATTAAACCTCTTTCCTTTGTAAGTTACTCAGTCTTGGGTAGTATCTTTATAGCAGTGTGAGAACAGACAAATACAGTAAATTGGTACCAGCAGAGTTGAATACTGCTATAAAGATACCAGAAAATGTGGAAGTAACTTTGGAACTGAGTAACAGGCAAAGGTTGGAACAGTTTTGAGGACTCAGAAGAAGACAAGAAGATGTGGGAATGTTTGGAACTTAGTACAGACTTGTTGAATGGTTTTGACCTAAATACTGCCAGTGATATGGACAATAAAGTCTAGGCTAAGGTGGTCTCAGATGGAGACGAGGAACTTATTGGGAATTGGAGCAAAGGTCACCCTTGTTATGTTTCAGGAAAGAGACTAGCAGCATTTTGCCCCTGCCCTAGAAATCTGTGGAACTTTGAGCTTGAGAGAGATGATCTGGAATTGGAACTTACGTTTAAAAGGGAAGCAGAGCATAAAAGTTTGGAAAATTTGCAACCTGACCATGTGGTAGAAAAGAAAAACCCGTTTTCTGGGGAGAAATTCAAACCTGCTGAAGAAATTTGCATAAGTAACGAGGACTGAATGTTAATCACCAAGACATGGGGAAAATGTCTCCAGGGCATGTCAGAGAACTTCACAGCAGACCCTCCCATCATAGGCGTGGAGGCCAAGGAAGAAAAAATGATTTTGTGGCCTGGGACGGCCCCACCCCACTATGTGCAGCCTAGGGACTTGGTGTCCTGAGTCCCCGCCACTCCAGCTTCAGCCATGGCTGAAAGGGCCCAAGGTACAGCTCAGGCCATTGCTTCAGAGTGTAAGCCCCAAGCCTTGGCAGCTTCCATGTGGTGTTGTGCTTGAAGGTGCACAGAATTCAAGAACTGAGGATTGGGAATTTCTATCTAGATTTCAGAGGATGTATGGAAATGCCTGGATGTCCAGGCAGAAGTCTGCAGCAAGGGCAGAGCCCGCATGGAGAACCTCTGCTAGGGAAGTGTGGAAGGGAAATGTGGAGTTGGAGCACCCACACAGTGTCCCCACTGGGGCATTGCCTAGTGCAGCTGTAAGAAGAGGGCCATAGTCCTCCAGACCACAGAATGGTAGATCCACTGACAGCTTGCATTGTGTGCCTGAAAAAGCCACTGGCACTCAATGCCAGCCCATGAGAGCAGCCACAGGGGCTGAACCCTGCAAAGCCACAGGGGCGGAGCTGCCCATGGCTATGGGAGCCCACTCTTTGCATCTGCATGCCCTGGATGTGAGACATAGAGTAAAAGGAGATTATTTTGGAGCTTTGAGATTTAGGCTGGGTGCAGTGGCTCACATTTGTAATCCCAGCCCTTTGGGAGGCCGAGGTAGGTGGATCACCTGAGGTCAGGAATTTGAGACCAGCCTGGCCAACATGGTGAAACCTCATCTCTACTAAAAATACAAAATTAGCTGGGTGTAGTGGTGTATGCCTGTAATCCCAGCTACTTGGGAGGCTAGGGCAGGATAATTACTTGAACCTGGGAATCAGAGGTTGCAGTGAGCTGAGATCACACCACTGCACTCCAGCCTGGGCAACAAGAGTGAAACTTCATCCCAAAAAACGACAAAAAAAAAAAAAAAGATTTAATGACTGCCCTGCTGGATTTCAGACTTGCATGGGGCCTGTAGCCCCTTTGCTTTGGTCAATTTCTCCCATTTGGAATGGAAGCATTTATCCAATGCCTGTACCCCCATTGTATCTTGGAAGTAACTAACTGGTTTTTCATTTTACAGGCTCCTAAGTGGAGGGGGCGTGCCTTGTCTCAGATGAGACTTTGGACTTGGATTTTTGTGTTAATGCTGGAATGAGTTAAGACTCAGTGGGGGACTATTGAGAAGGCAACAATCAGTTTTGAAATATAAAAAGGACGTGAGATTTGGGAGGGGTCAGTGTAGAATGATATGGTTTGCCTCTGTGTCCCCACTCAAATCTCATTTCAAATTGTAATCCCCATAATCTCCACATGTCAAGGGAAGGACCTGGTGGGAGGTGATTGGATCATGGGGGCAGTTTCCCCTATGCTGTTCTCATGATAGTGAGTGAGTTCTCACAAGATCTGACGGTTTTATAAGTGTTTGACAGTTCCACCTTCACATGCTCTCTCTTGCCTACTGCCATGTAAGATGTGTCTGCTTCCTCTTCCACCATGACTGTAAGTTTCCTGAGGCCTCCCTAGCCATGCAGAACTGTGAATCAATTTAACCTCTTTTCTTTGTAAGTTACCCAGTCTTGGGTAGTGTCTTTATAGCACTGTGAGAACGAACTAATACAGTTGCTGACATTGTTCAAAGGTTACCCATAAGGTCCCTGCCCATTCTACCTACCTCCAGAGCCAGTGGACACAGATCACAGGGAATATGTTGGCCTACTCTGTTGGGTAAATTGCTTCTAAACACCTCTCCAACTGCTTCAGCAGAATCTATGTTTAAATCCAAACAGTGAATATGCTTAACACACTGTCCTTTTCACTCATCCAAGAAAGCAGACTACCAGCACCTTGACATCTCATAATTAATCGAGTTTCAGTTGTTTTTAAGCATGCTATAAATAATGAAATAATAAATTGCTTTTTTTTTTTTTTTTTTTTTGAGACAGAGTCTTGCTCTGCTGCCCAGGCTGGAGTGCAATGGCACAATCTCAGTTCACTGCAACCTCCGCCTCCTGGGTTCAGGTGATTCTCCTGCCTCAGCCTCCAGAGTAGCTGGGATTACAGGCACCTGCCACCACACCCGACAAATTTTTGCATTTTTAGTAGAGACAGGGTTTCACCATGTTGGCCAGGCTGGTCTCGATCTCCTGACCTGTGATCCGCCCGCCTTGGCCTCCTAAAATGCTGGGATTACAGGCGTGAGCCACCGTGCCTGGCCAATAAATTGCTTTTATTAAGCAATTCGATTTTTCCTTCAATTTCAAGAGTTAAAATTATATGTTAAACTGCAAATTAATGGTGGTTTTATTATTTGGAGGAACAAAAATATAATCAAGATACATTATTAGAAAATGTACCTCCGGCACCATATAAAGCCCTGCAAACTACAGCACACAAATGATTCTGTGGTTTGAATATTTTTGTCCCTTCCAATTTCATGTCGAAATGTAATCCCCAATGCAACAGTGTTGGGAGGTGCGCCCCTTTGAGAGCTATTTAGGTCATGAGAGTTCTGCCCTCATGAATGGATTAATGTCACTATAAAAATGCTTGCAGGAGTGGTTTATCTATCTTCACTCCTGTCACATGAACTTGGCATTCATCCTCTCTTGCCCTTTTACCTTCCACTGTGTGAGGACTCAGCAAAAAGGCCCTCACCAGATATCAGTGACTTGATCTTGGACTTCTCAGCTTCCAGAACTATGAGAAAATAAATTTCTGTTCTTTTTAAATGATCCAGTCTGTTGCATTGTTATGGCAGCACAAAAGGGACTAAACTAAATGGCAAAAGCTTATCTATTCAAATTAAGAAAGAGAAAAATAGTGAAAAAAACGCTGGTAGGATTCATTCTTTCATTCCCTGTTCTGGAAAATCACCAACAGTTAGAAATGGGGCAAAAAGTTGATTGCACAGCCTTTTCACACCATACCAGAACATTGTCCAATAAGTCTACCTGTGGCTCACCTGATTAGTATGTTTAACTTTGTTCACTAACAGTTGGTGAGGAAGCATAAGCTTTTTACAGTACTGTAAATCTAAGAGATTAAACTGCAGCTAAACCATAAGAAGTGATTTTTTTCCTGCTTATTAGGAAAGTTTATATATAGTTTTATTGTCCTGCAGGTCATCAACCAGGTTTGTATCTAAATTAACAGTCTCATTTCTGCATTTCCTCCCACTACCTACATAATCAAGAATTTATAAATGCTTTTGAAAAGCACCTATATAATTCTGTTGGTTCCCTGAATCATGGGTTAAATAAAATTTTACAGCTGTTCACCAATAATCTGTGTGGGATTTATGGTTTGTAACAATTTGGGAATTGTGTTTTCAATCCACTTTCTGGAGCTGAGGATACCTTTTCCAAGGGCCTGCTGGCTGACTTCTCACAATGTTGGCCAAAATGAGGTAACCATTCATTTACTAAGAGGCTTGGGATAATCCTAACTGGTTTAGAGGATTCAACATCCGGGACAGAATGATCACCAGTGGGGACACTATCCCCAGGTTACTACAGGACTCTATCTTAGATGTTTTATAATGCAGGAGTCAACATCAGTCACTGAATGGCAGGGGATATCGCTTCTGAACAAGACATGGACCACGTTTACAGGACCAGGGAGGGAAAGGTGCCATATTCATTCAGACTCTTTCTTTTTCAATAGTGTCTGACGTTTATTGGAAATATGGAAAATATTTTTCTCCAGGTAGTATAAAGGAGTTGAGCAGAAGAAACAAGTTATTTTGTT